AGCAATTAAGCTTGCCAAACAAGAGCAATGGAACAGATTTCTTGAGAAAAAGAATACAAGATCAATATTTAAAGTCGTGTCCTACACCAAAGAGAGAAGATCAATGAGTATTCTTTCTATCTTATCCGTTGAGAATACCTTGGAGGAATCCCTTGAGGGGAAGTGCAAGGCCTTTCGAGATGTACTATTCCTCTCTCCTCCTCATACTGATCAAGTGGAATGGAATACCCACCAGCCAGGTAGTTGGATATGGCCAACATTAATACGGTCAGAGCTGGAAAGCGCATGTTCAGATACCATCTGTGACAGAAACCGAATTGGTAATGAATAAATCGATTTATTAAACTATATGAGGAGAGAAGAGAACTCTAGCTATAACTAACAGGTATTTATAATGACTGATCCGCTGCGTGTATCTACTAACTGATGGCTTTCCTCCAGACATCATACTCGCTAACTAGCCACGTATCGTTGGTTGTTATTTAGTTGTAACAGCGATCTAGCGTCCTGATTAGTATTATCGTTTTGTCTAGTTCCATCTTTCCCTCCCCGTGCGACCTTATTGTAAACAATCTAAGTATTACGCTTAGGTATCCACCTAAGCTCACACAACGGTTAACCCGTGACACCATCAAAGGAACCACACCTGGACCAGATGGAATCCTCCATCAAATCATAAGCCAGGCCTATGCAACCATTTCGAAAATCTTCCTTCAGCTATATTCCAGTCTTTTCAAGGCAGGATATTATCCTGAATGCTGTTAACAGGCAGCTTGGATCATACTAAGGAGGCCAGCAATGCCAGACTACTCCCAACCAAAGCCATACAGGGTCATCTCTCTTCTCAACTGCCCAGGTAAAGTCATGGAGAGAATCTTAGCTTGGAGGTTGGGTTAGCTGGCAGTAACATCAGACCTACTACATCTATCTCAGATAGGGAGCCGCCTGAAGAAGTCGGTGTCACAGTTCGAATATAGGAAGCAAATAGGCATTTTATAGTTGAAAGGTAAAGCTATAATTCATCTATGTAGAAGCAAACTACCTGCAAGCCTCCTCTGCTACTTATACATATCCAAAGGTATCTAAATCTAGCCTACGCTTACAGTGGCAATGAAACTGACTTAGGGTTTGTTCTGCCACACGGGTAACGCTTCCGATACTCTTGGTACTATCCTTTACGTAGCCTCAGTGGCGATCTCGTATCAGTTTTCGTCTGCTGATAATCCTCGGAGTGATAGAAAATAGGTCCTGTAGCCTTCGATGGTTATCGAAGGCTACAGGACCTATCGGCTCACAAGCCGTCACAACAATCGGCTATAAATACAGCACTACTGTTTAGTAGTGAAGTAGAAACCAATAGACAGCTTAATAAGATCACCTCGACACTCTTCATGGATGCAAAGGGTGCCTTTGATCATGGGGCCCGAAATCAACTGCTGGTAATAATGCAGAAAAAGAAGCTGCCTATCAACTTCATAGTCTGGACTGCATCATTCTTGGAGCGGAGGACCTTGCATCTTGAGATTGATGGTGAAAAGGAAAGTTTCAGTGAGATCAAGACCGATACTCCTCAGGGGAGCCGTATATCACTAATTCTTTTTCTCGTTTATATCCGAGCACTATTCTCTAGCAATTCAGTGAAAATCATCTCATACATGGATGATATTAGCCTGACAACGGAAAGATCTAGCTTGAATAAAAATATCAAAATACTAGAAAGAAAAGCCTCCAAGATTATCAACTTGGGGCTGAAAGATGCAGTTCAGTTTGTGTTGGAAATGGAGACACAGAGTGTTGTGGACGTATGGGCCCTCCATTTCGTCTAGGTTCCCGACACGATCTTGTGTATATGAAAGAAGTTGGAATGGATAATATGGTAGCGCTTCAGACTACCTATTGGAGACATGAGCGGCTGTATGGCGTGGGCACAAGGAGGTTATTGGGGGGTTTTCTATGCCTAGATGGCACCACACTCGTTTATGCTGTGGCTTAGGCTATGTGTCGCTTACACTTGTACTTGTAGCGCACATTTCCCACAGTTTTAGCTGTAATCCGAACATGACACTCTTTTAGTCAACTTCTACTTTCGTTCAATAAATATTGCGCCCATTTCATTGCGCGATATTTCCAACAAATAATTGTGCCCAAAAGTAGTGAAGATATGGAAGTGAATCTGGGGTAAAATTCGCAGAGATCCGTGCTTATTACCTGTAAAATTATAGGGTAATTTGGGAAATGCGATAAGAGTTGTTAGACTCTGGCGAGAAATCACCTATGAGGAATTTGGACAGGAGGTTGTTAATCGATAAGAAAGTGGCAAAAGCTTATATTTGTTTAACTGTAAGAGATTTGGTCAAACATGGTCCTCCCTGTGCCTTAACATAATGGAGTTATGGTTTTTTTTTGCATCTGGAGTTATGATATGATATTATTATTATTGTGACCGGGTACTACCCCAGCACCCAGAGGGCATGGCACGGGTAGTATTGATCTATAGGAATCTTCGCTACCTACATCTTTGTTTTGTAGAAACCTGAACACACAAAACTAAAAAAAATAAAAACACCATTTCTAATGTGCTAGCGCCCTACGCTACACCTTAATTCTCGAACCACACCGAACGGTCCCAAGAAGCATTATGGTTGACCTTACATCCCCTGCTTATGATTCATTCTTGCTGCAACATTTTGTTACAGTTAAAAAGCGCCAGAATTTCTGCCATACTTCTTGCCCTATCATATCCCTTATCATGGGATGTAGGTCCTTCGTTTCGTCCGCCATTTCTGAATAGCTAGGCGACATTCTACAAAATGCCATGACCGTTTTTCTCGGCCGCATTTGTAGAGCATTTCTACATTTTTGTGTTGGAACCGTCTGTGATAGCCGACGAAGTCACCATGCCCAGTCCTTGCTGCGATGAGGCGGTGATATGCCCATCGAGATAGAGCTAGCTCCGGAGGGCGTTTTCTTCGCATCAGTAGGTCCATATCTTCATACTTATCCGTTCTGTGCTTATGCTACCAATTTTCCGCCAGTTTCTGTACGCGGATTGTGACCTGGCGCTTGATAGCTGCAAATGTCAGGACTTCGTGAGCTTCCTCCCAGATGATCTTAGGTCTCGGTAAATTCCCCTACCTATTCCTTGCTGCAAGTGCTGCCTTTGCTATGGCGTCGGCCCTTTGGTTGCCTGGTATGCCGCTATGTCCCGGGACCCAGCATACCTCTATGGCTGGTCGGGTCTTGCATAACTCCCAAAAATTCATTACCTCTATTTGCGAGGAATTTGTTCTGCTAGTTTCAAGGGCTCTTGTTAACATTTCTATCTTGATGTCGACCCGTACAAACATACCGTATAATAGTAACTCATATTGATACTCGGGATTGCGATGGATAGCAGAGATTGATGGTGTTTATGGCAGTGCGGGGTCTGGTAATTAGTGACAGGGGTATGACACGTGTATATATATATCGCGCACTTGACTCAACTTTAATATGAGATGCATCTGACTACATTCACAATGCCCATACCTACTCTGGGCTAATCACCCCTTACTATATCGGTCCTATCTTCTAATTAATGCCCTTTTCGCCATTTTATGTTAAATGACAGGTCATCATATTCTTCGTTTTGCTGGCCATCATCAAGCTCAGAGTTATGGACAGGTTAAATCTTTAACAGCTCTAATCGCCTCATAATTGTCGAGGAGTACCTTGATATCTATACTCCCTCCAATTTTTAATGCCGCCTCTAGACCTCGAACTGCCCCCACGATTTCCGCATCATGAATCTCAGCTCCAGGAAGGAAATTACCACCACTAGCTATGAGTTCTCTATCTCTATAAATGGCGTAGCCATAGGCTGAGTATGCTGAGCCGGTAGATGACCCATCAGAGTAGATACACAGCGTGCCTGCGGGAAGATTTCTAAGCCACAGCTTAATCTGCTTCGCCTTTTCCTGTTTGTTGCATTTGACTCCGGCTATAGCAATCGCGGTCCGCGGATTATAAAGCTACCCGGGATCTTATGATTCTGGAAGGTTGAGGTTCCCATTCTGAAGGCGTATTAAGTATCGCTCTGGAATCCTTAAGGCCCGTCCTTTCTGCCCTTCTCGCAGTTGGAGTCGCTTGGTTGCCTCTTTGGGCGTCTCAAATGCCCTTGACGCAAGTGGATGATAGCTATCAAGTCGGCGGATTCTGGCTGCACTTCGGGGCTGTCGCTGCTGGAGCATTATTTCTGCAGGTAAGATCCCTGACTCTCGGTGCAGAACTGTTGGAAATTCTTACTCTCGAATTTAGGACTCAACCATTACCTGTTTCGTCTCAGGTTCCCGACAAGATCGACTCTCTCTAAGCATGTCACGAGTGCGCTAATCGCGTCTCCTATTGCATATACGTTTGGATATCTACGTAGTACAGTGTATCTTGGCTCATCATGGTAGATGAGAGGTTGCTGGTCATCACTAGGTTTGACAGGCACATGAGACCAGTGGGAATTCTCCCCTAAGATGTATATAGAAGTCCAATATTCCCATAGTTGTAAATTATCAAGTCTTCTTTACTTCATCATATTTATCCATATAATATCGTACAGAGTATATTTTCCAACACTGTATGAATTGCTTAAGTTATCTATGTGACAGGACCTTCCTCTACATACATGAATAAGGTGGTTTCTGCACACTAGTGGATGTTCCAACATATCTCCTTGTCTAACCGAGAAAGGAGGCATGTGAGAGATCCTAGCGCCAATAGATACCATTAGGAACCTATTGGGAAATACTATGTCATACCAATAAGTGATGATCTAGGTCAACCATATCTCATGGCGCATGTGCACATTATTCTAATGTGAACAGTTTATTGTAATGCAGTCATGTTACTCCCCTAATTAAAACAACGGGCACCCGCATTCTGCCACGCAGCCAGCGCGGCAACGTATTTATTGGTGGTCTTTGGCAATAGGTTACTGGATACATGCGAGGTATTCAGGGTAAGAGGGTTCAGATGTTAACTTGACCTTTAGGCTGTGTGTGAATAGTTTCCGCAAAGCCCTGGGCTGAAGACTCGGGGGAACTAGCTGTAAAGATAGGTGGTTGGCGAGGAGCAGTTAATAGACCATCGTCATAAGTAGAAGTTGTGGTATCTGGTATGAAGCCTCCAGACTCTTTTGGTAGGTATGCATTGTCTAAATCATTGACAATGTCATCGTCAGACACGTACATTTGTGTATAGTCGGTTTGGGGTTGGTTTCAACTGCCAATAGCCTTTCAATTTGCTTTCCCCCCTCTAGTACGGTGTGAGAAACGGAGTCTGAGACGATTTTATGCGTTGCACTTAACTTTGTAGACTACACAGTAGTCGCGCGAGTCACTTAGGGCTTCGCTGGGAGCATCATGAAAGTGGGCTAATATCATGCCAAGGTGTATCGCGATGTATATGTTGTAATATGATCCCTAAATTTTTTGTTTTTGACTTAACTTCGTGCCAGCGCCCCAAAAGAGCCGAGCCAATTTAAAATGAAGCCCAGCCACTTTTCAGCGCCTCGGAATGTGATAAGGGATTTGAAGGGTTGACTGCTTCTATCAATCTTCTAGGTGATACTTTCTCATTCTCGAGTACTTCATTAGCAAGCTTGAACTTCATGTAACATTCATACTCATTAACCCAAGTTTGGCGTTCTCTGATGATTCCCCGTCGATAATAGTGTTGGGCGAAAGGATCACGGGTGGTGTTGTGGCTTTTTTTGACATTATAAAGGTAGTTCGAAAATTGTTTGCTATATCAAGGGGGAGCCCAATATTCAGTTTGAGCTGATATCAGCTTGAATTGTCTTGATAATTTTCTTCATGGTTTATGTAGTCGGGAATCTCTGCAATGCGGGAGTACCTACCAAAATCAGCCAGGCATTACTCCTTTCCACAAGGCTTTCAGTTAGGAAAAAATCGGTTCGAGTGTTGGTAGATGGCTGAATGTTGGCTCTGAGAGAATAATTCACTCCCAGGTTCGTAGAAGACACCGCGAATTGGTGTCTAGGTCTTGCCCTCCGCCATCAGAATTGCTACGTCTTAAAAGTATTGGTAAAGATGAATCTTTCATAAAGTATTTAGAATATCTTTCGAGATAATACGGCCTGATAATGGGAGATGATATATCCTAATCTAGTTACATCCAAATTCGAGGCAAATTCAAGGTTTTACTGGATACTGAAATCCAAATTTCTCATTTCTTGAATGTATTTCATCGAACCTTCTCGGCCGAGACGTTGTACTGGACGTTGATTCTTTTGTTCACCTATAGTAATAGCAAGGTTTCAAAAAGCTTAGGAAAGATTTATATTGATCCAGCTTTGAGTTGTGAATTAATAGATAACAGGACAGCTCATTAGACAGTCTCCGGTAATCTTTTCGAGGCAGCGTATTACCATAACGGAAAAATACTACACCACTTGATGCTCTTATTATTGAAATCCTCACAACTCAATACTTTCCATCTCACATTGAACTTTCGTCCCTTTATCTAGATATTCTAATGAGCAAGATCACGTAGTTATCAGAGTTCAAAGGCTCCCTGACACATTGGCTATACCACGAGCCTGTTAATTTCTTCATATTACTTCTCCTTTCATTGTATATGCCTGATTGTCACGACTCCCCAACCACCTACTGATAATCCATTTATTCTTGTAGATTTGAGCGCATGATTCAGTGTTTAAGTAGATGTTTCGAGGGTCGGACGCCAGTAGCACCGGTAAATAATTAGTGATAGTTATCTTTTTATAAGACCCTAATTTATTTTTATTTTACTCTATTTCTAAGGTTAGTAAGAAATAGTGCAAGAGGCTCTGAAATAGCAGATGATGATGTGCTCGTAATATAGTTGATCGGAATCTTTATATGGTAGATAGCTGCAGACCTCGGTTAGAGGAGATGTCAATGAACATTAACCATATTGGCGCTTTTGTCATAGGTCGTGACATTACCACCTGCGACTCGACACTGTAACTCAATCACGCCATGCCACCTGTAAGCTTCTAAGCCTCTCAAGAAATTCGCTGACCCTATTTCAGCGCGGGTTTACTAATCCTGCCCCCAAAACTGATTCTGCACGCGAGGCAGTAAAGTCTTTCTACTGTGAGCTCTGTAGCAAGGGTTACGCGCGGATGAACGAATATGAAGCCCACCTATCATCTTACGATCATTCTCATAAGCAGAGACTCAAGGATATGCGACAGTTAACCAAGGATCCGCTGGCCTCTAGCAAGGCGCGAAAAGCCGAGATGAAAGCAAATACACAGTCAGGTCTTATTTCTATCAAAATAAATGGGGATTCCAGCAGTTCTGGGCCCAAGAAAGGTGGCTTCAAGAAGATAGGCTTCAAGAGCGCGTTTGCACCGGATAAAGACTCAATTCCATCAGCGCCAGCTGTGCTTAATGAGAGCACCAAAGTCCCAGAGTCTCAGCCGCCTGATGAAGGCATGGAGAGTGATACAGAAGATGAAAATTATGAAATATATGACCCACGCTGTCCTACCGAATAAGGCCGGATTATGGTTTGCCTTCGCGATAAAAGAATCCCTTATGTGGTACAGAATACTCGAGAGAGAAATTTGCTACGATAACCACGGAACTAAGCATCATAATCGCATTCATATACCGAAAATACTCCCGCCACTTCCTGAGGATTCGGCCGCCTAGTAATAGATTCGCCAGTCCGAACACTTTGCCGAGGAGAAAAAATGACGAGCCTATCCTCCCTTATTGGCCGTGCATAAATATCTTTGTGAATGTAAATTCATAAATATCACACATAATACCTTCTATAATGTGCTAGAGAGATGCCATACTTTTCTTGAAGACGGCTCCCAATGTGAACTTTGAAGGACAAAAAAGAGAAAGAGTAAAAATCAATATAGTAAATACATTTTAGGATTTGTCTCTACATCTTCCTGGGCATGAACTATTTATATTGATTATGAGGAGATTCTGTCTTTGGATCAGGAGCCAAGACTCTATGCTGTAAATATCTTTAATCATAGTTTTGTGACGCACATGTGGTCTAAAGTCTACTTGTTGATTACAAATACAATCTACTGTTTGAGATATTATGATGTGATTCGGGTTTTTCATTTTGATTTGATAATTAGATTATTGAGGTACCGTAGTCTCTATGTGCTCTATCAGAAATATTCATTTTAGGTCCCTATCAGTTCATATTTGTTCCATGAGATTCTCTACTGACCTCTCTTGGAGACTTTGCTTTGATCGATTAAATTCCAATCCAAGCCCCAATTCTTCTCCTAGTCGCTCGATTCAACATGGAAGAGATTTGCAACAGTTAAAACTTTTATTTTGTTCGAGGTACGTTCACTACATCGGGTAGTTATATTGTTTCAATGCGTGAACAGCAACTTGATTTGATTTTGATCTGATACCAAAACGTGCTAGGAAATCCCTTCGCCCACTAGGCGTGATACGAGTAGTGGAAGCCTTAGGTTCCAATTCTACCTACACGAACGGCCATCAGCCGGCAAAGTCACATTCAACGTCTTCTAGTGGTGCGGGTGTAATCGCTCAGCATGCTCTGCATATCTGGGATAGCCAAGAAGAATCGCATCCAAATCGAAGTCGAAAGCAAACACATCCATATCTCCACTTGAAGACTTCTCAATCATGCCGCACTCACCGTAATCTTCTGAGTCCTCAGCCTTTTTCTAACCACATATCATCTCGCCTCAACGACCGATAAAGGCGTCACACCAATTGCAAACAGAAGCTTGCCTTATTCATTACCGGCCATCACCCACTACAAACTTACGACGCTACGTATACTGGCAAGGAGGAAATTAAGTCATAATAGACAAAGCCTGGGGCTTGGCTCATAGGGGGCTGATGCTCTAACGGGGTTATACATCTTGAGGAAGAACAGGCGGCTGAGATGTGGAGCGAGAGAGAGAATGGGTTTCTAAAGACCATGCTGGGACTGACATTTTCGAGGGGGTTTCAACTTTGGATTTTTTGTAGGCGTTTGGACCAAGATTTTGGCTAGTTAGCCAGGTGGGCTTCTTTTGTCGATGAGTCAATAGCACTCCCCAGCGCCCTGGACGGCTCATATAAAGTTGGGCTAAGCTATAATTCAGCAATCACGCTGTGTCAAAACTTTTCTGACATTTTAGCACGACCTTCGGGAAGGAGTTGGAAGGAGGCTAGAAAGGCAGAGGGTGAATTCTGCGAGGTACCCACAAGTTTGCAGCGCCCAGCTGGTCGGCCTCTTCGAACGCTTCAGAAGGATCACTGTATCTTCGGATCTAGTCCTATTGTCGATATTACAAGAGCCCCGCACCCAGTGGTTTCTGCGATTTTTCCCGGCTGCCATACACTCGCAAATGGCCATCGCTTCGTTGGCTAGAGAGGGGAGATAATCAAGGGCAGAAGGCTCCTCTAAGTTTATGATCGAATGAGGACTTGTCAGGAGTGGTACTGTTTGAGGGGAGTTGTATGGGAGGCATAGGAGGGGATAAACTACTCGTATAGGTATCCTTGGCCTGTAGACAGAGAGGACCTGCATGTCCTACATACTCATAGACTCATCAAGGACAATATGTTTGTTTGTTTTCTATTCTTCGTCCATCGGGGCGCCAAGCATGACTTAAGTCCCTACTACCCACTAAATTAACTAGAGGCATTGACGCCAGTGCTTACTGCCCTGGTGGCTTCGCCCTTGCTACTTCCTAACTAGGTTTACAGGGCAATTCTCAAATTACATGATTGCGTGTAGCGTGTAGCGTAGCACCTACACTTTTACAGACAGTCCCCAAGGCTCTTTACTCCTTTCATGTATTACAACCACTCTAGGGATGCTACTAATAGATCCATTCAGAAATACCGCACCATTCATCCACAATGCAAGGCTCAAAGTTGAGGCAGAGTTTAAGACCTATTTATTTCTTCTCTGGGATTTCTAGGGCAGGTCTTTATGAAAACCCCAGAAAGAGAAAGCCACTTTGCTACACGTAGGACCCCTTCCAAGGTTCCTAGCAAAAATTTCTTTGGGTCCCTTGAAGATGCTGGAGCTCGAGGGGGTCTGTGGGTGGCTAGGTGGCACTCTAGGAAGTGCAATGGGACTTTGAGCTGTCCGCAGCCGCAACGAAGACTAGCACCTTCGTGATTGAAACGGTGATTGTACTCTGCAAATTCACATTGAAAAAGGACAATAAAATGAATTGAAGAAAATTGTATCCGCTTTGTCCTCACATCGACTCACGTGACACTCATATGAAGCCCTCTCTAAGTCGTAGAAGTGACAATAATATTTAGATTATTGCTTTAGAGCACAAGTCTTTGATGGTCTAACGGTTATGATTTCCGCTTGTCAGTGCACACCGCGGGAGACCGGGGTTCGACTCCCCGTCAGAGAGAAACCTTTTGATCGTGCTCGTGCGCACCAGGTTTTGCTGTTTTGAGCTCGTGAGAAACGTTTCAGGTCGATGCCAATACCTCCACCAATACGAATTGATATTTACCGCTCCGTTGTTCAAATATATGTGCACAGTTTCCTATTCGGGTCCACAAATATCCACAAGGGAGATATTTCATTGTCTTTGGTCACCTAAAAGTATTCCTTCATCAATTTGAATGCGAGCACGAAAAGGATTATGGTAAGACTTTGTTGAACTCGAACCAGAGATCTTATGTCTCACATGGTATAAGTGTCAAAGTTTTTCATTTTGTGCTTGAGGACAAGCCCGGCCACGGGAGACTATTCTCAACACCTCTCAGCAGTGTCCTCTACGAACTTCTAGCTCTCACCGTAGAGTCTGCAGAGCCGAGATTGAGTAACAAAGTCCTCACTTCGACGAGGATTCCCAATCGCTTTCGCCGTCTGTATCGTCTTCATCTCTCAACACATTCCCCTATCACCACTATCATGAAGCTAACCACGATCAGATCAGATGGTAGGGTCGGAGCCCTACTCGTCACCCACCCTTGATCATGGAGGAAAAGCCATCCGATGAGTTTCCGGAGCGTACCCAGCACCCGATACGGAGATGGTGGATTGGATCAAGTCGACCTCGAATGTTACGAAGAAGGGAGATATAGATGAATATGCGCACCTCATGTGGTCCCGGTGTCTAGGCCTCGCCTGGCTGGGGCAGCAGGTTTTTTGAGACTTTTTCCCGCGCACGCAGTTTCCATTGCTACCATTTTTATTTTTTTTTGGGTAGAAGGTTCCGTGGAAAAGGTGGCTGAATTCCACGGGTAGACGCTGTGCCAAATAAATATTCAGCACGGGCAATATATCAATGATCTTTGGAGTAACAAAAGATGATAGGAGCACTGTACAAGATGTGGCTTGGGTCAGAGAGGAGCCCAATGTGTTAGATAGTCATAGAATCAAGTAGTACAATAAACAAACATACATATAACCTACTAAGTAGGAACTTCTCAATTTGTCTAATAATACACACAATACATCAAGCATCGCTAACAATGCATACCCACAAATATCATCTTGAACTAGAGTCTGGTTAAATTCCAAGTAACTAGCGGTTCAATGGCTTCTGCCAGCGCATCGTCCCCATCGATGGCTGCCAACCCCAGCGCAACAATTCACCCAACTCTGATGGGTATTGCCGAGGCAATGCAAAAAGCAGAGCAACAAAGGAAAGGAAGTCTGGATCTTGCCCAGGAATTCTTAGAAATAATCGACGCCTGAGCTAAAACTAAGGCAGGAATAGCGGCGTCGGCCACAGTGATGCCTCTTATTGCAAGTATAGCTACAATAGTAACGTCGTTCACTATTGGAACAACACAGGCAAATGAAACCCCCTGTAAGACCTACCAGCTCTCGAAGAGCGCGATAACAACAGAGGCTCCCAGGGTGACCAAAATACTCGTGCCACCTGATTGCGCGTTCCGAGCAAAGCCTCAAGCGGATAAGAACCCATGTGCAACAGTAGCTCGTAGAGCGGCATAGCTCCCAGATCCTTCAGCAACCCTGCTTCATCGAAAGACTGTCTTGCCGGCAAACACGACGACTCCAATGCCCCTAAAAGAAGATAAACGACTTTTTGTTCGACTGGGGCCAGACCACGAATGGTGGAGACTATCTCCTGTCACCATAAAAAAGTTAATCACGGAGCGAGCTGGAGTAGCGGCATCCGCAATCGTGCTGATGTGTCAGGTCCGATATGGCCTGGCCTTTGAATGCGCTTCAGACGCGCTAAGAGAAACAGTTCTGGGTGTTGCCTCATCCTTCTAGCAACAGAATATCACCATCAAGCCAGCCTCAGACTAGGTCTCGATTATTGTCCCACATGTCCCTCTTTACATCAGAACCCTTGAAGGCAGCATTTCAGTTACTAGTGAAACGGTAAAAACAGATTGTCAGCCTGTCTGTGGGGTTACACCAGTAATGGTTCGGCCAAACCAAGTGAGATTGGGTCAATATTCCACAAGCTGGATAGTGCACTTCATACAAAAACCAATGAACCTGAAATTCAGACTCTTCGACGAGAGTGGAACATCGATGCAGTTCTCACGCCGACGACCTATTGAACAATGTCAGCGATGTTTTGGTTTCCACACAACAAGAGCTTGCACCAAGGGACAAAGATGTGGACGTTGTACGGGAGCGCATGAAATAGAAAAGTGCCCGGCAAAGGTACCAAAGTGCTCAAATTGTGCAGGACCTCACGAGTCGACGAACCTCATCTGCATGGCCCGGCCAAGAAGACACAATGGAATAGCAGTTCCCCGCACACCAGCAGAGCTACACGTTATCCGAGAACGCGGTCATCGAGACTTTAAAGCTGCGCTAGCGGCGTGGGAAAGGAAGGGTAAGGATGTTGAGACTATAAATACTCCGGAAGCGACGATGGCTAGTCAATGAATAGGATACCAAACTCTAATCATTCAACCGGAAAATATAGCACCCTTCTATTTCACCAAGTGAACGTAGGAAAGGGCGGAGCGAATATGGACACTGCATTACAACAGGCGTGGGATGCGGGAGCGCACGTTGTTATGGTACAAGAACCGTGGACAATGTAGACAGATAGAGACTTCATCACAAAAATTCACCCTGACTTTAAGGGCCACAAAACAGTTGGAGAAACGGGAAACCGTCCTCGAGTTATTAACTTCACCTGGAAAAGTATCAGTGCTACGCAAATTTTTCCGGCGCATAGACCTAATTCTCACTATTGCCTCGTAAAAGTAGATGGTCTGACTTTTGAAAATGTCTACTGTGCCCCTAGACCAAGCGGATCCTTGGAGCCTTTACTTCAATGGTGACCTTTTTGTCCTACTGTCGTCGGGAGGACTTCAACGCGATGTCAAGACACTGGCAACCACCGGCTCCACGTCAGTATGGCAACGGTGATCAGATCATGGAATGGACCTCAGCTCAGGACATGTATTTGGTCACCACAGCAGGGGTACCCACACATCGGGGCGGGAATGTGCTCGACTTGGTATGGATTAATACCTCGGCCACGGCGACAGTTTCACGCGGCTATAATTGCACCTCGGATCACAGCACCATTGTAGGATCTGTGTAGTGTAAAAGAATATCTGATAACCGCAATCTCACTCAAGGACTAATTGTCACCGACAAAAACCTCGATAAGTTTGCGCAATACGTCAAGGCGTAGATCAATCCAGGACCTATAAGTAGCGTGGCTGATATCGAACGCCAGATATTTAGCCTTTTGGAAGCACTTGGGGACGCCCTCAAGGTAGTAGGACAGAGACCCTCGATATCATGCTGGAATACAGCTCCATGGTGGACGGAGGATTGCAAGTTGAAATACCGTGAGTTTCAGGATTCCAGGAACTCTCCCGAAGGATCAACACAGGCACGTAAAAACTTCAGAGCGACAGTCAAGGCGGCCAAGAAAGAAAACTTGAGGAAATAAGTCGAAAGTGCTACCTCACAGGCTCAGGTCTTCAAGGTGATGCATTGGGCCAAACCCAAAGTGTGTCGTTGTCAGGATTGCCTTCTGTATAATCTATATGTGTGGGGATAACCAAAATCTAGTGTACTATGATTCTGGTCTGGCCTTTTGGCCGAGTGGTTATGCACCTATCTCATGCATAATGTAGGATGGCACCCTTTAGCCTGAATACCACCTCTGAGACCCATGTCTCCTCCCTGCTGTCTACATGCTGCTCTGACAGTCTTGAACCCCCTTCACTGAAAGTTGCGGCAGATAAATGGATATCGGACCCACTTGATCGAGCAGAAAACCTCAGAGATACGTGAATGACCATAGTCAACGCGGCCTACGACCTACCTAGGTGGGAGTGTGGTCAACGAGATTCAGTCCTGTGGAACCATACACTATCACTAGATGATATCACGGTACGCACCATTGTGAGCAGAGATAATGCCCCAGGGTCAGATGAGATAATAGTCCGCTTGCCTAAATCATGCTGGAACGAAATTGGAGAAAATGTAAGAGACATTTTTCAAGCTTGCCCAGAAATGAGACATTTTTCTACAGATTTCAGGGTAGCAGAAGTTGTGCTTCTTCCCAAACCAGGGCGAGACCCCGCGACTGCCAAAAGGATGGCGGCCAATATCTCTTCTCTCCTGCTTTAGTAAAGGTTTGGAACGATTAGTGGCCAAGCGAATGGCCTGGTTGGCTATTGAACATCGAGCTGTTACCCAGCAGCTCTTTGGCGCCCTACCTGGGCGCTCGGCGATTGGTCTTCTCTCTTGTGTTAAACATGATGCAGAAGCGACAATGCGGAACGGTAAGGTCATGGCCATGGCAACCCTAGATGTGCAAGGTGCGTTCGATGTAATACTTCAAAAGCGCCTATTAGACCAAATGCGGGAACAAGGATGATCTATCAATCTTTGCCAATTGATAGAATCTTTTCTGTCTCAGCAAAGGATACGTGTCCGACATCAAA